ATCCGAAATAATTATTTCGGATGAAAGCCAAGCCTAAAAATGAAGCCATCATATTCGAGGAGAAAACTGCATAAACCATAAGCTATGTCGAAATTGCGCTTACTCGTCATTCAAAGCAAATTATGTTAAATGACTTATTGTTGACTTGAACGAAGGTCGACTGCGAGTGCGTACATTTCCATGGAAAAGTTCGCGGATTTTCTGGTAAAATTTGCGGATTTGCTGGAAAAATTACACCGTTTTCCCAATTCAATTAAACTATAAACACCGCAGACTCAATAAAGCTCACTATGTGGCAAAAAAACTAAAGATTTTCTTAGTTGTGGAAGAGGTTTTGGGCCTCAAGCAGTGGCGACTTAAATTAGCCACGACAACGATTCGAAATATGTCTTTTTAGGAATTCCCTGATAAATTTAGCATTTTCCTTGAATGGACATTCCTGCAAAGTTTCCGATAACGACTATAAATAATGGCCCAATGCATGGACGAACCATCATAACAAATTCTAAAATGAACCAAAAGGTCTATTCTTTTCTGTTTTGTGCCCTCCTGGCCAGCACCTTCGCCCATGGTAATTTAGGCACCACTGTGCCAATTCGTTAACCAAACGTGATTGACCGTTTTTTCCCAGAACTCCGAGCTAAGGGGGCGGCGCCAGTTGGCTTTCGTTACTCTAGAAGACTTGAAAAGGGCGCATATCCCGATATCTGCGAACTGGTAAGCGACTTTTGCTCTACAGCCTTCAGTCCTCTTCATGGATTTTCAGTCGTGTACGGCCACTGAAACCCTGAATTTCACTTTTGGAATCACCGTCCAAGCTGTAGAACAAGTGCTCATCTTGGCCAATCTCTCCTCGAACGCCGCCCTTGCAATCGACGCCTCCAATCAGATTGCCGTATTACTGAACGGCAACACCGGCGCGGGAGTGGCCATAAACCTGTCCACCCTAACAGGAGTTTACGTATCCAGTGGCCTCTGGCTTGCCTCCAAAGCCACCATCGACCTTTACATCCGAAACTTGCAGGGTGGCCTTCAGGCCCTCCTGTCCAATCCAGGGGGTGAGTGGCATCAGCAACCCTTTCTTAGGCCTTGAATGGTCCTCATTTCGCTTGCAGCTCTTCGATTCGCCACCAAGAACGTCCCAAAGGCCATCATCAGTGAAATCAACAGAATCGTGAGTAGGCTGGTGATCAACTATGGGCTTGCCACCGCGCAAGACGTCACCGCAGGGTTGAGGGCTGTTTTGCCCATCAGCACCGGAATACTTCGGCTGTTAAAGGGGAATTTGAGCGGGCTGCTTGCAGTGAGTCCCTTTGAGCTGAGTAGAACCAATCTACGACCTCAAACATTTTTTAGCTGATCGGCTCAGAGGTGATTGGCATCCCTCTGGACATCGCCGCCCTTTTAAACACGCTGATTGGCATAGAAACTGTCATCGTCAAAGCTTATGGTAAGTCCCTAATGATGGGATAAACGAAGAAAAGAGCAAGTTTATCCAGGATCGCTGGAGGCCCTGGTCGCAGCTGGTGTACTGTTGAGTTGGTCGGCCCTTCTTGGCGCCTCCAACGCCCTGATTCTCCTAGCCGATCTCCTGTTGGGGATTGGACGCAACGTTGACGTCGGATCCGCCCTGGGGCCGCTCCTCAGCAGCCCGCAAAGCGCCTTGAGTCTGATTGCCCTATTGGGCGGCAATGCCCACGTTGGTATCAACGGTTTACTAGCGGTATGCCAATATTTGCTAGCGCAGCGCAGGGTTTGTACCTAAACCTTCTCAATTTGCTAGGTCTTGTCCAACCTAGTTGGATTGACCGACAACAGCGTCATAGTGGAGGTTTTCCTCAACCTCCTTGTCCAGTTCGTGGGCAATTCCGGCCATTACATCAAAGCCGACCTCACCCAGGTCCTGAGGGATTCGCTTCGCGGCTTGCTATTGGTGATTGAGCGCGTGGATGCTTCATCATCACTCAATGAGCTGGTTGTCGTCATCAGCGCCCTGATTGGGGGCAGCTGGACGTACAGTTAGTGGCGATTTCGTCCATTTTGCCTGCTTTATTGCTACCGGCCTTTCAGGGGGCGTCACCATTGGCACCATTATCTTTAAACTATCAGCCGGAGTGGCTGCTGGAGGCCCCAAACTGCTCCAATTGGTTGTTTCAGTGCTGGTCCTTTTAGGACACCCTCTAAAAGTGACCATTCCCACCCTTACATTTATCTTGATTTGCAACTTCAACGGTGCCATTGGGGTAAGCCTCTGGCTCAGACCAGCGCAACTCGTTCTGAGCCGATGCCGCATTACAGGCCTGGTTATTGACGGTGTTTGGCATCGGCATTAGCAGCCACATCATAGTTGCCGTTGGAGGCGGACTAAAAGCCGTCCTAATTGGAAACAAGGGCATCAACCTGGATCTGTTGACTAGGGACTTGCAGCAGGGCCTAGAAACCATTCCGGGGGTTGCCGCTGTTGTCCGAGCGGTCAAAGGGGCGTATTCAACGGTTGCTACCGGCGGCACTGCGTTCAAAGTTCTCATTAATACGTATCCTCTGTTTAGGACACGGGTTTTAGGTAGGCCCTAAGGACTGTTCGTATCTGGGCAATGCTGTATAAACTGTGTTTCTTTGTTGGCTTACAGCCTTGATCGAATTGTGCAGCGGAGTCAAGTTGAAAGTCCCACCGAAACATCTGACCACCATAAATATCTTAATGGGAAGGCTTGCAGGCGTGAGCGCACATACTGGAGTCAGTTTGGCAGTATATGGATCTGTTAACGTCAAAGGCTAGTAAATACCTGCGGATTTTATCGATGTAAGTGATCTTGGACAAAAAATAAATGGTTTGCACATCTTTGGCTGGTTATTTGATTTCCAGTGGCGTTAAGCAATCGACTAGTCGCAGATTGAACTGGACAAAATCAGTTGCCAAACCAAAATATCCGCTGTAGTTTGTTCAATAAAAAAGAGAATAAAGGCAACAAACCCGCTCATTAATTGTGTTCTTGAATGTGGAGGTTCAGCAGCTGAAGGCCCTTTGGTGCAGGACTGTGATTGTTAAGGACTGAAGAAGGAATGGAGCGACAGCGCAGGATTACACCTAAAACCAAAGTCGTTCAGGCATAAATTTCAAAAACTATATTGATTTCTCACACTTTTCCACTTAACTTAGCGTGTATTATTATATTAACGTCTCACTAGCAGTCTAACGGTTAAAAACATCAAAAAATTAATAATAATTCTCTGTACTCTTTCGATCTTTATAGCAAATAAGTATTCCGGTCAGCTTTCAGGCGCCGGCATTCGCCCGCACAAACAAAATCGGGTTTGGCAGTTTGTCGAGGCGAATATCGGACGTCAAATTTAAAAACACGTCCTAAAAAACTATTCACACGATCACATTGATAATAATATAAATATCACAAAATAGGGGAGGGCCCATCTCGGACCCCATCCGCCTTGTTGTTTTGCCATCAATCGGGTCGACGCCTCCGAGGTACGACGGCAGCGTCGCTCTAAGTTTGCCTCAACTAAAATTCAACTCACAGCGACTGCACTGTCGTACCTCAACTATATCACAGTCAGATATGAAGCGTATCGATGCGATATAACTGAACCTGCACACGATCTGCTAACAGAGCGGACTGCAAACCGCAATTTCTAGTCCGCCCAGTGGAGCCAAACTATACAATATCGATCCTCAATTATCGAAAAAACACGCCGTTTCTTTTGCTATATCAAATTGACAATAACTATGTGTGCGGGGGGAAACGATTTAATGATTAAATTACCGAAATGTGCCCAATAAGGCGCCACGACCACGAACAGTGTACAACAAAATGAGATCAAGTGTTATTCGTACTAAAACAATAAAAAATGTGGCACAATGAAACAGCGCCCTGGACAGGGATGAGGCAATAGCAAAAGAAACAGTAGATGGGCGTCATCAGTTAAGTCAATGCAACTGAATCTGAATCAAATCGGAGAAATTTTGTACTTTTACACACTATATAAATACATTTAAAAAATGGCATTGTTCTGATAAGTGTTGTCCAAATGGGGCGGGCCTTTGTAAGGCGGCCCGCTCCATTTCAACGCTAGAACGTTTTTTCTTCCCCCCATTATTTCAGCCTTGTTTGTTTCTATTTTGTGTAAGTCGCTGAAACGGCATCCACAAACTTAATAAATTTCCTCCAGATCATTTACATTATAAAAATGATTATAAGCATGCTCCAAAATAGTAATAAAATATTTTAAATCGATTAATAGGTGATAAACATAATATATATAGTAATAATAATGGTGGGGCGATAGGGGGCGACCGACAGGTCAAGATTCCTTTCAGTTTTAACAATTATTCCAGGCCATCTCCTATCACCCATTTTAACAACGACATTACTATGTACAAAGAGCGTCTCCAAATCGGCCTCATTACGCACTCTGTATAAATATTCACGCGCCGAATTGAGGCCTTTTAAAATTATATATACAGTAACATAATATAGGGATTTATGATTTTGATGGGACCTCAGTGTCCCGCCTTTCGGTTGCCGTTTGCAAGCATATACTGGCTGGCCGGCAAACTCAGGTTTGCTTCATAAAACTACCAAATGTATATGCGAGCAAGACAATTTGGCAACCGAAATCTATGTACAGGATGGTCAAAACTAAACGAACAATTTCAAATACCACCCGATTCGGGGGGGAAGACACGCAACTATTGCGCACCACCCCCTAACCGAACGAATGCTAATAATAATCAGCGAAAAATGAAATACAATTACTCGGTAGAAGAACAAAAACTTACGAATACGAAAACAAACTTAGTTACATTGTCATGTAGCGGTTGACGGTGCGAAGGGCGTAGATGAGCTCGGCCTGCATACGCGACTCTAAAACCATCAGGTTCACGTGCACCTGAAAATAATTTTCAAAAGTTATTTAGCCAAATTAATGTATGTACTTGATTGATTGAATAATTTCGATTTGTTTTCCTGACTGCGTGTAATTGTTATTATATTTTGAAATGTTCATATCGTTTATTTCGTATTAGTTAGACGTTAGACAAAATACAATTGAACCAGAATATTCGAGAGTTGTCCAACGGCTATGTAAATCGAGCGCGAAAGACTGTCCAAATACCTTTTCGCTATGTTCGAACTCCCTCATCACCCGATCGTAGACCTTCTTGGTGACGCGCTCCGGATAGCAGCAGGCCGTTTTCATGAAGCTCTTGAGCGACTTTTCCACCAAAGCGTTGATCTCGCCATAGTCGTAGTCGTCGTGGCGAATGCCCAGCAAAGCCTAAACAATTGCCCTCATTTTAAAAAAGTCCTGATTGACAGTGAAAATCCCTTGTAAAAGAACGGCCTTTTGTCGCATTCAAAAGCCCTCTAGCAAACTAACCCTCCTACAATCTGCCCTTCTACTGGGGATTTTCACCCGCCAAAACCTCGTACTTCTACAAGTAAAAGTCGTTGTTTTCGCATCAAGCCCTACCTGAATGTAGTTCCAAATGGCGCGTCGAAACCGCGAAGTGTCCACATCAGTCCGACCGCCCATCGTGTTGTAAGTCAAATTGTAGGCAGTTTTAAACTTCGAGTCCAATAGCGTGCCAACGTCGTTATACAGCCGGTTGACTGTTGAGTAGCCATGATCGTCCCATGAATAGTCCTGGACGCGGAACGTGTGAATGTCGCTCTCGGCCCGCTTGGCAAAGTCCTGGTACTGAAAGGTCGGATCGTCCACAAAGTAGCTGATATCGGCCGGGGTTTCTTGGGGCTCTGGCCCGACCACGCCTAGTTCCGCCGACTGCACCTGAAAATGTCCCCATGTAAACCGTGCCTTAAATACATGAGCAGCAGCGCCTTACTTCGATGTTTTCGAAACGTTTCGCCAGCTCCACCGGGGTGCACTCCTCAGTTTGCTCCGACAGCGTTTTCATTCGTTGCATGAGGGTAGTGATGCCGACTTCCGGTTCCGTCGGGGAGGGCGGGCAGGCGCCCAACGTGTCCGTCCAGTCCAGCTCTGTAACCGATTGGCTTATGCCAATTTCCCCAACTAACCTCACGTTGACTTACCTCGCCTCCTAAGAGCCGAGTGCGCGGTGTGCCCTCCATCATGGTTCTCCCTAGAGGGTTGCCCGCCTGGGTACTCATAGCCGCCCGCATGGTCCAGTTCCTGGTTAACTCCACAGGAGAACACGAACGAACAAAGCGAGTGGAAGTGAGTGAGAATGACGATGGCGTGCACCACTTCAGCCAGCGACCACGAATCTTTGCCGCACTTGGTGAGTTTCTGGAACAATTGCAAACTCCTCAGTTAAAAACGTCGCTTCTTACCAACTGACTTACCTCAATATGAGAAGTATGCAACAGCCAAGGCCGATGGGCCAAGATCTTGTTAATATCATAAAGGTTGCGCAGCTTCTGAGGTATGCACTTGAGGCCCCTCAGCCAGTTCTGATCGCCGCCCTGCAGCAGGAACTCCTGCTTCTGGAGCGCGATCAAGTAGCTGCACTGGTGCCGACCGGCAGCCTGGAAAAATCAATTTTTTTCACTCAAAACCAGCCTGTCGGTAAGTTAAAAAAAATAAACCGGGGCCATTTGAGGCACGTGTCTGACCTTGTAGCCGGAAAAATAGGTCTTACACGTGTCACTGTATCATTGAAATGCAGCGCAAATCATTCCGAACCATTCAATGCATGTAGGTAGTCGACAACATGGGTAAACAAAGTGTATTCTTTCATTGTATCACTGCCCAATGGCTAAAGGTGGCCGTTTCTTACGCTTAATTTCATATCAATTTGTTTTCTTCAGTCAGCAAAATAAATCAATCTTTAATTTCGTCTCCACAGTTTTGGTAAAACACCCTGTACAAATATTCTGCGGGTTCCAATATTCTAAACGCGAGTCTTATTGGTATATTAAGTCCAATTGTACCTTCTTTTTTAGCTTCCAGAACCTCCAAAATGTCCTCAAAACTCCAAATAAGCACTAGAGTGTGAACAATATTCGGCCGAGATTGATGACAGTAGGCGCTTGCCGTTTCAGCCGCGCGTGGTTGTCACTGGAGACGTCAGCAAACTCCGTTCAGAAAAATTGCGTTGTTTTCGCTAAACGCACACTTCAACAGGGAAAAATTGAAGAAACCCGCGAAGAAAACCCTCCATTTTGAGAAAATCAGCAATTTTTCAAAAAAATAACAAAAAAACCCGGGTTTTTTTTCAAAATCAAGGGAGTAAATCACGCACAATGCCCCCTTAACAACCACCAAACAACCGACTGATTCGACGAAATACACGAGAATCACCGAAGGCTTGAAGGCCTATAAGTGAACAACCAGGCCGAATCAGACTTGTCTGTTTACAGAAATGCGCCCGAAATAAAAAAGTTTTATTAACAATAAAAGCAAAATCTTACCATAATAGCGATGAAATGCCGATAGTCGAACGGTAGGGGACCGTCTCCTCTAAGGATGTAGTTTTGAGTTTTGAGAAACTGCTCCAAATAGGATGAATGGTAGCCCATGACCTGCGACACATGGTCGAGCCGATTATTCTGCAGGAAGGCGTCAACAAACAGCGTGTGAGTCTGCAAAAAACGACGGAAAATTGATTATTGATCGCATTCGGGCACACCTTTTGATGGTGTCGGCCAATGTATGTGGCCAACCAGTGCACTCTATTAATAATTCTCTTAACCCAGATTTTCATCGAGAAAGTTCTAATCTGGGTTCGGATTTTTTCGCACCCAGATATATAGTCTCTGAGTTTGTTCAACTTAGCTTTTTTTGTTAAAAAGTTTGATAATCGGATGGGTTTTGGACGCCACTTGCATTGCAAAACATTCCCTTTCTTTGGCCTTTTTGGAGTTGGTCAAAAGTTCAGAGTTGGTTTTTCAAGCCCGGAAAGTTTCAATTTGCCACCATCTTCAGGGAGTTTTGAGAAATGTTTTAAACCAGTCAGCGGTGAGCGGTTTTGTTAGACGTATGTTTGAACATGCATATCTCTAAAACCCATAGAGCTAGATACTTGCAGGCGATGGCAGTGGATGGAGAAAAGCCCCCTGCAAAAACGCTGCATGCTTCAATGCGCCACCTTCATCAGGAATTTTTGCGTTGAGCAAAGAAAGCGCACTTTTCAAACCCCTGAAAGCTTCAACTACCCAACACCTTGCTAGTGCAAAAAACGATACTACCCAGGTTTCCACTCGGGATGATTAATATCAATCATCATCAACAATAACCAACCAATGACTTTGTGTCCCCCGGTAGGTTACATAACCAATGATACCGAACAACGTCAAGGTTTGTCCATTCGAAAACCGACGAATGTGTTACGAAAATAATCACCATCATTTTTCAGGCCTGGTCGAGCTCTTTATTTATTTGAACCAGGCAATAAAACCTACGCACCTTTACAATATACACACACGCACAACAGATCTTAACTCTATCGCCTCCGGCGTTGTCAGAGTTTAAACAACAAACCGTCGTTCAACCTGTCATTCCCCTAGCAAATGCCAACAAACAGAGGCGACTGTCAAGTGTATGTCAATCATGAGGGCCATTGTTATTCGATTGTCATAGCAACTCCATCGCCTGCGGCTTTGTCCGCTTTAACCAAACAACGCGTGCTCTACCTGTCATTCTAAAAATTCATTCCAAAGTGAAACCGTGCCCAATCGGAAGACAGTAACCCGTTAGTCAACATGACACAGGCTTTTTCCGCAGTGTAACATCGGCAACAGCGCGAATATATAAAACCGTAAACAAGTTAACAACGTTCTAAATAATTAAGAATTCAAGATTAGAATAAGGCTTATTGCTATTTTCATCGGTTGATATTTAACAGCGAGCGCCAATGTCTTGTAGCGGGCGTTTCTTCCTCTCAAATCTGGTCTTATCGCAGTGTGTGGGGGTTATTAAAAATGATTGTTGGCCTAAAAATCGATGGCGGCACTCGAAAAACAAACAGCGACACTCGAGATGGTCTAACAATAGTTACACATTGCCCAGACAAATAACAACCAGATAACGAGACGCGATAACAGACAGAGCTTATTGCACGTTATCAAAACAGAATCGTTATAGCGAAATGAGACATTTAGAGTTTAATCAGGGCCGGAGTCGACCCCATCGGGCCCCAGGCCCTAATCCCGTCCACAATCAACCACAATCCCTTTCTTCGGCCCACCCCACAATAACTGGACAGTGGCAGCGATCGAAACGAATCGGGGCAAAAACAATCAGTCCTGTCCTGGGACACATTGATAAGGAGTCATTGACTGCACATTTAATGAGTTCGACCCAATTAAGCCCAACATGGCGGAGTCTGTGATAAGGAGACTTAATTACTAATCACAACAAGACTAGTCAAGGACACCTTCAGTTGCTAGGAGGCTCAACGGATGCACTTTGGTCCTCCACAACCCCAATTTGCCGCACTAAACCAGACCGAAAGTAAATCGATCCGGGGGGCCTGCATATCCAGTTTCCAGGATTGCGAATGCCGTGAATTTCACCCAAAACTTCCGGGTCAAATCGGTCCTCATCAAGTTTGTGAGCGTATTTTTCAAGACATCGATATACGAATTTTGCGCGCCTTGTGAGGAGCCTGAAGGTTTACAAACGGTTGACTCACTTTGCCCAAATCGGTTTTATCGCATCTTCTAACCTTCAAAGAGATAGAAGCAAAAATATGTGGAAAACACCCTTTATCTCAGAAACGAGTGGAAATATCCAATCAGTTTTACTAATAGGATTTTATCAACATTCCTGATCTTTAAAGATCTACAAGCCAAAAGCTCAGAAACGAGTAAAAATATTCAATCCATCGTCAAGATCTTTTCGAAACCGCGTCTCAAGAGTAGTAAAAAACAGCTCTGAGGTTTCAAAGGAAATTTCGAACCTTTAAAAACATACAAGCAAAAATAGGAAAAAACTATTTGAGTAATTCTTGAATAGTCCTTAATATTTCCGAAAGGGTTCAAACTAACTCAATAATCATTAGAACCTTTTCCATCTGTCTATTTCCAATTAGAACTAAAAGAAATTTCTAACCGTTAAAAAGCTGGAATACAAAATATCCCTTTTTAATGAACCGTCGAAGTTTCAAAGCTTCTATCTTGAAAACGGTTCGAAATTCTGATTTGTCATTAAATCCTTTTCACAAGAGCGTCTCAAGAACTGTATTTTTGTAAGTAGACATTTTTTCGAAATTTCTAATCCTTAAAAAGTTAGAAGCGAAAATGGCATTGCATCTCGAAAGCCGTTAGAAATATGTGAGTAACCATGAGAACCTTTTCGGAAGAACGTCTCAAGAGCTGTCTTTTTGTGATTAGACATTTTTCTAAATTTCTAACCATTCAAAAGTGATAAGGGAAAACGTCGAAAAACAACACAGTCTCAATCCAAAACGCTTAGAAAACCTTTCAATGCCTCCAATCAACAGACAAAGTGAGAAGGCATCTGAATGCTTTAAATAAAGAACGCGAGAAAAAGCTGCGAAGTGAACAGGATGCTTTCAAACATACCGGAAAATCACCCAAAGCTCTGATGGTTGAATCACATCAAAAGAAAAGATTGCGATAAAAGCGTACATTATTGATAGGCTCGCTCTCTGGCTGTAAGAGTGTTTTTCGCCCTTGAGCGCGATTATAAAAATAGAAACCTTTCAAATAATCCCGATTTTTTCCAGCATGTTTCGAATCAAACCGCTTTATATTATAGTAAGCGGATGGCTCTCAGAAAAGTCACTAACTTGTAAAGATCCACATAATCCAAGAAGGCCGTGTAGGAAAAAAGTCCGAGTTGTCAAGTTGCGGTTAACCTAGCAGCCGGTTTCTGTCACTCCAAAATGTCAAAATACTGCACCTATCAGTGTCATTGTCTGAGTCCACTCAAAGTTACACCCGATTGGTTCGTTTAGTGGCCGATTGCCCACCAATCCACATTGTGAAAGGCGCACAGTTTATGACTGAATATTCATACAATCGCGGGTTGTTTACGGAAAAACGGCTTGTTGAGTAATCCGAATACCATTATGGACTTGAACTGGGACAATCAAAGGCTTTAAGTTGCTGTTGTTGTTGTTGTTGTTGTTGTTATTTCCTGGCACTTCACCCTGGTGACGCATACTAAAAAAGCTCACCGAACCCCAAAATCTACGCCACTGACACTAGAAAAAATGTGACAACTGTGTCGCTACAAATATCAGCAAACGTGTACACATTTTCCATTATCTGTCAAACAGTTACTAAATCACACCTAAGAAAAATGGGGCTTTGGTTTGGGACACCCTGTACGCCAAGCGATATTCCGTGCAAACGTCTATGAGTGCAAGCGAGAGGCTCGGCCAGTCATTTGACGCGAGACAGAAGATTTCAGTGCTTCTGTCTCTATCTGATTCCGGACTTGATATATCTCTCCATCCTCTTTATCCACGCCGTACCGGGCGTTCGCGATAACTGACTGGGAAAATGAAACCCTTCGGCTGAGCAACATACCGGGTGTGTAAAAGAAATAGCGAGTGTTCGAACTTTTTAAACGTTCAAGATAAAAATGCGGCATTTTTCCGCAACTATTCGGCTGTTTTCCAGGAAACGTCGCCTCCGAAATGTCTGTTAGCAACAACACTATCATCCTTGAATCGAGATGATAAGATTAGCAGATGCTTACGTGATTGAGTACCTTTATGTAGAAAATTTGCGCGATGGTACCAATGGGAAATGGGCGAAAAATTCGCACGCCGATTAGTACCTGGCCATTAAACGGCGTGCGATGAACGGAGACGTCCGGAAGGGGCATGTTTCTCTCTCTAGCACGTTGCGGCTTATGGAAAATAGAATTTTTTGCACGTGGCAACGAACGTCAGTCACTGTTTGGGACCGAAATGTTTACGAATCGGCGAATAAATAAAAAAAATAATGGGAATTTTAGCTCTCAGAGCCAACTATTTCAGCCATTAAAAAACACGAGTTTATTTTTTATCGAATAAATCAAGCCGGTTGTGACAACTGGTGCGAGTTTATTGGGTTAGTTGGGAGGCCATTTGGTGACAGATTTGCAATTTTCAAAGATTCTTGACAGTTGAAGTCACTAAGTACAAAGTGACATTGTCGCATCCGAGTTAAGTGTGTGGTCTGTCATGTGACGTTAGGGCCCTTTGGTTGATTGCCAGCGATATTGTGAGGAAAATGATGAATTTAATCGAAAAAAACCTGTTTAATGCGCGTTGACTGCTTTCGATCAGTACACGTTTTCGCATATTCGGCAAAAAAGCGACCGAATGGCGTCATCTGACTAAGGCAAAGGCAGAAAACTCGAAATTTGTCGTAATCAATTTCGAATTTAAATGAATGGCATAAATTTAAAAACCATTCAAGGTTGCGCAAATTTATTTACACCGGACACTGTTTTCTATTAAACTGGTGACAATTCGCTCTGCATGATAATGGCGCTCGTACTGCTGGAGGACGTTTAGGTTATCCGCTAATGACTGACGTAAAGCGACCTTAGTTGACAGATAGTGGTGGACGTGGCGGGAGTTGCGCCTTTGAGGCAAACAGTCGTCACGGCCTTATTTGACCCG